ATGTTTGGAAGTGTCAAAGTGTAAAACAATGACGTAGGTCCCACCAATGCAGTCAAAAGCGTGATTCTACCTAGAAGCGGAAAAGGGGTAAACTCATAAAGCGTATAAGCGTAAGTTTTTTACGCATACTGAAAAATAACTAAAAATGTATTAAGTAGGACATATGCTATGCAAAATATGAATGTACAGAATTTAGATAAGTCAATAAATACATGTGATTCATGCCTAAAGTAGAACAACTTATAGCATCTTAATAATAAGTTTGTAAACATAAATTTTAACAATAAGCCACTTTTCCCACTATTCTAATGAATTTGGGAAAAGCCTAACGGGTGAATTCAATTCGATTACTCTATCGAAGTTGAGAATGCATACAAGTACCTTATATGTATCTTTTAATCTCAAATGTATCATATTGTTGGTGATTTACTTTTAAAATATACTTTTTATAATTAATTTCATGAAAAGAATACTCATTTAGAGAACTAAAAGCGTAAAAACGTAAAGCATTTTGGAGAACTAGAAGCGTAAAACCGTAAGCTTTTAAGCTTTAAAACGCAATTTAGTCCGATTTTATATACTGAAGTTTTTATATGAAAACGAAAGCGTTTTGGTGACCTAAAAGCGTAAAATCGTAAGTTTTTTAGTTTTAAAACGCTATTTTGACTGCATTGGGTCCCACCAACAATCACAAAAAATGATGCATTATACAACCTCAACTAAAAGTTGAGATTGTTGTGATTGTTGGTTTTAGATTTGTGTCAACTTTTTCTTTCCATTTATATCATTAATAGTTTTTGTCTTATTCTAAAAGTTGAGGGTAAATGTGACATTTTCCCATAAAGAAACTTTATGTAAATCAATGCATAAAATAGAATCTCAACAACCAAACAATGTATTGTTAAGGTTCGCCGCCCAGAGATTAATTCCCAGCTTTTTTTTTCGTTCCCAACCAAAGAATTCCCCCTTCCCTGTCCGTCCGATCTCTTCCCTGTCCCTCCGATCTCACCTTCCATCGCCTCACTACCGGCTTGATTTTGGTCATCGAGGAGAAAGCTTCGATTTCGCATCATTTTGGTGCTCGGATTTATTTGTCCGATCAGCCCTAGTGCTCTCATCCGGTCCTGATTCACTCCCCTATCGTGACTGGCATGCGCAGAAGGTTACAAAGAACCGCACCGCCATTTTTGCCAACGGCATATACTCCCCGGGATGCCCAAATTCGCTACTGATTTTGTTGCGGATCGCTCCTCCAACCTTTTGATTTGTCCTAGGGATTAGCGGCTACGCCGTTGCTGATCCTTCTTCTTGACCTTTTCTTTAATTATTGATTTGCTTTTCAAATTCTGATGTCATGCTCACTCTGAGTTCCTCTTCCTCACTCGACTGCTGGTGATGCTGTAACTGGTCTTCAGTTCTCCCATCCCGCCGTGGTCGCCGATTCAGTCGTCTTCTTCACCGACAATAATAAGAAACCGGCAGAGCTCTGTTGCTGGTGATTGTGTGGTACCGCTCGCTTTTGGACTGCGGCCTCTTTTGCCAATTTGGAGCTTCTGTCGTTTCTCCGTCCAGTATGCAGTCGGCGGGGCGACGGAGAGATGGCGCCAGCATCGACGTCGTGTTTGTGCGATGGAAGTCAGTTCGGCAGTGCCGGCTGCCGCTTGCCTACCCGCTGCCCGGTGATATATTTCTTTTATTATATTTTATTAATTTGTTTCTCTTGTGCTTATCTTGTTTGACAAAGTGCAGTGGTGGTGTCAGATGTCTGGGACTCTTAGGGTCGTTTGGATGTGGAAATGTAATGCAGTAATTGGACCCAATTACCACATAATGCAGTAATTGGGTTAAAAATCCACGTTTGGGAGAGCAAAAAGGGTATGGGAATTGGACCATGGAAATTGGCTTCAATTACCACATTCATGGTAATTGAGAATACTACACCTCCCCCTAGTAATTTAACATTACCACGTTTTCTCACTTCTTTTTCCAAATTCCACACCATCAATTCCCACAAAACTAAACCCTATCCAAACGTGAATTTTTTTCAATTTCCACAAGTCAATTCCTTGGTTTTGTAAACCATGGAAATTCAGACAAATTCCAACGTTTTCAAATTTCCACATCCAAACCAATAAAGCTGTTCTTTTAGGAGTGTGTCATTAAAGTCTAATTGGGATGACACCTCCTGGTCATTCTCTTGGGCCTTTTGGCCTAGTTTGGTTGTTTATGTTTTACAGGCCACACTCCTCGGGTTGTTGGAGTGGCTTTTCTTGGACAATACGGGCCGAGACTTCCTGGAGTTTGCCTTTGGTTTATTTGGATGCCTGCTTCGACAAGCCCAGTGGACTGGTGGCTTTGTGTGTGTGGTTTTGCAGGTTTGCAGGGAAATAGTGAAGATCCATATTTGCAAATATTAGAGGATGTGGGCAGGACACGCGTCTCTAGCAGCTTTTGGCCATTTTTATATGGCTTGTGTGGCACAGGCCTATCTGTATTTTGTTTTGCAGGCAAGCGGAAGTTCCTCTCGTCTGGGCTTTTGGCGTAGTTGGGCCATTCCAATTGTCTCGATTGTCTATGCTTCAATTTTCAGAATCGGCAAGGGTCTGCTTCTCTGCTTCAATGTTCAGCGTGGTTAATTCATGATTTTGGTACTTTTAAGAGAAGAAATCATGATATTGCCCATGTCCTTAAGGTACCAAGGGCTGCCCATATCGTGGCAAAAAGAGCCCTCTTGTCGTTGGATCCTCCGACGCTTCTTCCTTATTTATCTTTTGTATTTTGACCTGTAAAGGTTTTGTACTTATATTTCGTATCTTGCTGTTTCCCATCTTGTGGGATACCTTTGGCAAAAAAAAAAAAAAACAATGTATTGTTAAAATACATCTATTGTATCAATATATGCATTAATATTGTGGTGACTCATTACAATGCAACGATTTAACATTCGCAACTTCCAAACGACCCCTAAATTTAGCTCACAATCTCTGGTGGCCTTTTAAGTTTTATCGCTCTAGACAACTTGCAAGCCTCCATCCAATCCAAGATTGTTTTTCCATTTTTCCTAAGTCACTCTCGTCTATCACTCAATCACTTGTTATTTTCAGAACTCCAAAAAGTGGAACTCTCATTAGTCATCTCTCATTCTCTAATTAATTGAATAAAAGATTCCCAATGACAAGAAATAGAGATAACGACTACAACTATAAAAATAAAAACTATGTGATTATACCACTACAACTCAATTATTATAGTGCTAAACCTTATCGTTAGCAAGTTAACTGAGCCCAACAATCATATACAAGTCTTTGTTGTTCTTACTAGTATGGTGCTAACTCCTTATAGTTAGGGGTGGTAATTGGTAAACGGTAATCCGGTAAACGGTTTACCGTTTTACCGAACCGGTAACCGGCGGTATTGGTAGTTGAGCGGGAAGTTGGGGGAGTCGGTTTACCGGACACGATACCGGTAAATAGCGACGGTAAATCGGTAATACCGATACCGAAATTCCCCCTCCCTACTCCACTAACATATAACATATACATCATTATTCACAAATATAAAATATTACATACATGAATGTAAGTAAGTATAGGCCTAAAAAATATTGTAAATAAGAGTTAATAATAAATTATTAATTACAAAAATGATGAAAAAAACTAAAAAAAATCAAAATATTACAACATCACCCCACTTCCAGAAATTCGGTTTGGTAAATATTCGGTAAACCGACCGAAAAACCGCCCGAAATCGCTTCTCACGGTATTTCGGTAATACCGGTTTGTAACCATTTACCAGTAATCGGTAAACCGGTTACAAACCGGTAAATTCGGTAAACAATTTACCGTTTACCGACCGAATCTCACCCCTACTTATAGTTTAGGTCAATACATATCGAGGAAGCCTATATATAAAAGGAAAAATACCACTTGATAGAGGGAGGTATCATATGCATTAAAACAAAAATAGCTCAGACTGGCGACTATCTATTATGTGCCAAGCTATGAATGGTGGAAACAGGTAAATGACAAAATTTATCGCTCTGCCTTATTCTAGTAAGAGAACTGCATGCACACTAGACCTTCCCAAAGTCATATAAAAGGAGAAGAAAAGACTTCAAGAGACAGCATTTTCCCTCCCATGTTAGTGTTTCCACTTATTCCTGTGACTCCCCCATCTCTTCAACTCCATCACCATCGATCCATATGGCTTCATCGATCGAAAAATCTCAGTTCGGCTCTCGACAAAGAGAAGAAATACCAGATTTGAGTGTAAGAGACTATTGGGGTGTGAGGTCTCAACTAGGCCGTGACAACACCAAGTCCAGCAGAAGGTTCTCAGGTTCCCATATCAGAAGTTTCAGAGAAGAGGCCAATGCCAGGTCTTTCAGATCATCACACCTCACCGTTTCAAGCACTGCTTCCTCTCCAGGCTACCCTTTCAAAGAAGAAATCGACCCATCAACATACTCATTCACCACTGCTCTCAAAGGTTAACTAACACTAATTATGCAAAAAAAGTGCTCACCTTTTCCTTCTTCCTTTTTCCAGCACTAACAAGTCTGAGAAAATGAAAAACGCAGCTCTGCAGACAAGGTCGGGACTCTGCAACAGCTGGGCAGGGGAGTGCTTATCCCCAGACGGGTTTGCTCTGCACTCCAAGTGGAACGAAGCTGAGAAGTACATATGTAACCCTCTCTCAGGACAGGTGCCAATGGAGTGTCTTTCAGCCAAGACACTGAGTGGGAGATCATTCTATAACAAGATTTCTTCTGTGTCTGCTCCTCTTGTTTACTCTTCTTCGTCTACCCATCCGAGGCAAATCCTGGTCAAGCCTGCTGCTGTTGTTGGAGCTTCCCAGGATCATCAGAACCACAATCATGTTACCTCACCGATTCCAGGTTCGATTCTAAGCTCAATGTGAACACTTTGGTTCTCTGTTGTTGTTTCTGAGAGCTGCGATAAGCAAGTAGTTCGGTTTGATTTTTGTTCAGAGAGAAAGACAGAGAGCTGTGGAAGTGGAAGTACTAGAGATATTGGAACACAGAGCACTTCACCACCTGAGGAGATCAGTTCAACAGAAAGATCATCACCATTGAAAAGAAGTGAAGCAGAAGGTGGAGAAGATTCCCCTAACTGTAAGGCGACTGTTCTGAAAGCTGCAGAAAAGGTAACCACCTTTGAATTAAGAGATTTCATCATCCATCGGCCATTAATTAACAGCTAAGTCAAGGCAGGAGTTGATCAACTTATGCATCTACACTTGTCTGTTCGTTTTCCTTTCTTGGCCTAAATTACCTGATCGACATGATTGAGAAATTAGGGGTGCTAGATGGATACTGTGCCTTCTAAAATGGAGAGGCAATAACAGAATAACTGGGTACCTTCGTTGTGACCTGTGGGGTATATAGGTGTGATGTGTCGAGGCCCTCCCCAAGAACAAATGCCACTGAAGGGAAAGAAAACAAAAATATAATTGGTCCCCTCCACCACTCCAAAATTCATAGTCATGATAATTGGTCCCCTTCTCGATATCTAAACACCAGAGATTGCATGTCCCACAAATATAGAGTTTATGTTAAGCATTTCTAGGCGATTGCAGCTAATCAGATGCTAAGGTTACATTATGCATCAATCCCACTTTCTTTCTTCCCTATCTTTCAACCTGTTTTCTCATGCCTCGGTTACAAACCTGTTTCAGCTAAAGATAATAGAAATATCACGAAGAAAGGTAGAAAGAAAGATAGCTTTCTGCGAGTACGTGCCTTTAGTTTGCATTTGTTTTTATGTAGTGCCAACGAAAATGCTTCAGCTGTGCCTCCTATAATGACTTTTTGCTGCTTTTCTTTCTGATTTCCATGGTGTGGAGTTGTCAATGAGAATGCCACATCGCTGTCAAGTGTTTCAGAGGACTCTGCAACCACACCACAACATATATAGGAATCTTAAACTTTTGCTGCACAATTTTCTACATTCACTGCATTTAGAGCCGCCCCATCACGACCTGAAAATCCCCCATGGCAGTTCCGTGAACTTAGTACAATGATGAGGGTTGAACCCAGTTTACACAACAACATGATAGCCAAAAATACTCAGCCTTTCCATTTACCTGCATGGCTTTGGTCTTTCAATCCTGGGATGATTTGTATGCCATTCATATTCCTTGCTGCCTTTTCGAGAGGTCCCTCCCTAGTGGACAACCCAAAAATGGGAGGTCCAATGTGCTTGATAGTCACTGTTGTGGGTGGGGCAGAGAGAACATGGTACTTCTTCCCAGTCTCCGTTTTCGTCACCCAAAATTAGCTCATATCCAGGAACTCTCAACACCCAAAAGAATGAAAAACAGTTACCCACTTATTCAACTGCCTTTTCCCCCTTCCAGCTCAAACTAGCACGTCAACTATCGAAAGAGTGCCCCTCCGATAGGCAGTTTGAGTTCTCTTTCAATATCTCATTCACCGTCATAGTTCTCTAGCTCAAACACGAATGCCTGCTGCTTTCATAAACATGATTAATTGAACCTAACACACGTGGAAGAAGAAGGAAAATTCGACATATTGATGCGCCAAATTTGTGGTGTTCTATGTGCAGCCTCAAATGGAAAATGAGTCTTCCAAAACAGAGGTTATATGGAGGTGCAGTACCTACAGCAGCAGCAGCAGCCAAGGTGGTTGCCTGTCATGGATGAGAAAAAGGCAAAGAGAGAAACACAAACCAACAAGCAAGAAAAACATATTCCTACGCAAGCTCGAAGGCTGCTGATATCGAAACCCGGATAGGCCAGAGAGCTTAGCAGTGCGTAAAGGAACTATGATATTGATGATGAGCTGATCAGATGGTCTTTATGAAACAGAGTTTCAGTTGTATCTTGTATGGTGACAATGTAGGAAGGGTTTGCGGTTCCATATCTTTTGTGGTTCGATCTTGTAGCTTCAGTCAAGCTAAGCTTTGTTGTTTCCTCTGCAAAGAGTGAAATATGAAAATGGGGCTGTTGCCAGCTTTTGGCTTTTGCTGGTGGTGGTGTATGGAAATTGGAGAAGATTCTGTTTAACAGCAACATGGAATTCACCAAATAACTAGTGTGTGATTGAGAAAACTGAAAAGGCTCCACCTCTGTCAAGCAATTCGGAGAAGAAAAAAAACAAGAAATGCACGAGGAACAATGAGTCAGAAGAACACAGAGAAAGGACAGAGGTAGATGCTCTCTGTTTTTGGTGGGACTGGGAGTATTCGTTAACTCATTCCATACAAATCTCATCTGTTCTGCTTATGAAACCACAAGCACGCAGCTTGTCCCATAGGTGTTGAACCACAATTATCTCTCCTGGTACTTCAGTATTTTGTAGTTTCAGATTCGTCGAAATAAAAAAATTAAATAAAAAATTAAATTTGGCTATAATCCAGCAACAGTAGGTAATGCCAACAAAAACATTTCAATCTCAATAATTGAGTAGCGGGAGAGAATACATTTCAATCCAGCTTCACTGTGAACATCTTGGCAGCATACGTTATGAATGACTGGGGCAGGGCAAGTGATTCTGGACCAGTTGCATATGTTTCATAGTTTCGAACATCAACTTTAATAATAGAGATTCTAACTACTCATGTACAATCAATGCCCTGGTGTAGAAAGTAATTCCCTTATATGCCAGCTAGTTGAAGAGCTTTAACATTATTCTCAATTCTCAATAACTGTACATATTATATTGAACTATGCAAATACATTTGCCACATACATATCAGATATCAACATTACCAAATCTTAAGGAAACATAAACATGTGATGGAAATTGCAAGTTAAGAGCAGGGTGAAACTGTATTTGTACCATCAAGATCTTTACGAAGATGATACTTTGGCATTTGAATTAGAATTTGAAATGAGTCGCACTTCAAATACATCGCCTTCCCCCTTCCCTGTGACACATCACATTCTCATTAGCAGCATTACATAAATTACTGATTAATCGCACAAGCAAATCAAGAATTGTGAAGGTTTTAGAATGAAGACACTTAATGTACAACTCACCAACTTCTGCTGTGATATCTGGTCCAAAGAAGGAAGTGAATTTTGCCTGAAAACAAACATCACTTGATCTGAGATTCTGAGCGAATAATACCATTCACAATATTTAATCCTCAAAGGAAATTAAATAAGAGGTGCAAGATCTAAGTATGAATCATTCCTTTCTACCTGTCTTTTTTCGAAGTCGGATAATGTTAGAGCTTTCGCCTCAAATTCCAGGACAAGGCAGTATTTCCCATCATCAGTAACCTAACAGATGACAAGAATATGAGTAAAGCCAGAAAGAAGATAAATCAGTTCAACGTGGAGGATGCAATACAAAAGGAGCCTAGAAATTACTGACATGGAAATTGGCAGTTTTTATATGATTTGCTGGAAGGGTGTGGCAATGCATGCTATCTGAAATCGGAAACTAAATACAAAACTGAGGGAACCTACTTCTTCACGAATCTTTTGTAGAACAGGTGCACTCCTGCGAGGAATTCCTCCTCCCTGTCATGCGCAAGAAAAGGAAAGTTAGAACAAGATATATCAAACATGACCCTAACACCAAAAGATTAATGACAAGCCCAGCTGTAGATCAGATTCTATAGAAGTAATCTGCAAATCTTGCCCCTCATCTTCTACTAAACTGGAAACTTCTCAGGCAACACCTTATTCTTTCATCATCTTAATCATTGTTATTGTTATTTGAGCAAGCATTTATCATGACAATGATAAGTACATCAACCAGAGAGCTTCAAGCACCAAAGTTTATGTGGTTCAAACATTTAATTAGGCATGAAGCCGAATATTAACAAAGACAAATAATGCAAAGAATAGACAAGGTCAAAGTGAACATAGCAGACCTGACCATACTGGAATATTCTCTTCAAGGCTTCCTCTAAATGTTGCTCGTCTCCATATCTGTATCTGATAACATCATTTCTGACCTAATCAAAACAACTAAAAGTCATTCTGGTAATTCAAAGTAATTGCCAACAAATAAAAATTATGCTGATACAAATCTCTTTCTTTAACTGCTATAAACCACTTTCCAGGGGTATCCGGTTAATATGGTGAAGAGAATGTAAAAAGATATGTTCATTAGAGAATGCAATATAAAGTAAATCATGCATTCAGTCTACTGGCTACTGCACTGAGCAGCTATTGACTAAGTGTCATTCAGAGATTTGACTAACAAAACATGCGTGCTAAGCAGTTGCTAAATTGATTGAGGACTAGCATGAAAAAACGAGCCACAATTACATGTCTAAAAACAATAGTGTTCATCAACAGCACCAGATCTGTGATCTGAGTGTGACGAATGATAACAGAAAGATGGCAAGGATATGCTCAGAATTCTCACTTAGTTAAAGCCATGACTACACCATTTTACTGATAACAAAAAAAATCAAAGCTAATGACCTGCTTTAAGATGGGAGTGGCACATGTCTCCCTTAATGCAACAGCATCCGAATAGGACAAACATGGGACTGGTTTAAGTTCCGCGTACTGCACATATTAGTGAAAGCACATATTAAATAACCCGTTTGAAAATGTACCGACTAAACATCAGCTTGAGGAATATCAACGAAACATTCTGTGCCATGTATTACGTCTTAATATTAAATCTTTACCTTAAGAGCCATACCAATTATTGCAAGGGGGAATCCATAAGTGAGCATTAAAGCTGACCATTCAGATCCTGGAAGGATATTGAAATAGGCTCCAAACCCATATCTGTATATCAGAAAGAAGTCCAGGATCAGTGTTCCTCCTAGAACGTACTAGTACAGTAGAGTGTTAAAGAACTCACGACAAGAGTGAAACGCCAATACTAAGCCCAATAACACCAAATGATATCTGCAAAATATGGAAGAACAGTTTGATTATCATAAACAAGGAATGCAGCACAGCAAAAGTTTCAATGTGGATAAAGATATTTTATATTCAGATCCCATCATGTTCTACGTCACCTTTCCTCGGTTCCAATGAATCTATAGGTTAGTACAGACTCAGAAGTCTTAGTTATAGGTTTTCTTAGCCTGATTTGCTAGCAAATATAAAATCTGCTATCCTTAATGGGATGTCTCATATTAGCTTTCGAAGTTCAAACAAGATTGATTATCATAAACTAGGAATGCTGCACAGCAAAAGTTTCAATGTGGATAAAGATATAATATATTCAGATCCCCTCATGTTCCTCTACGTCACATTTCCTCAGTTCCAATGAATCTATAGGTTAGTACAGACTCAGAAGTCGCAATTATAGGTTTTCTTAGCCTGATTTGCTAGCAAATATAAAATCTGCTATCCTTAATGATATGTCTCATATTAGCTTTCAAAGTTCAAGTAACGGTAACAAAACCACAGTTAAGTTAACATTACATCGCATTGCAGCTACTAACAATTACATGGCCACGAGGAAGACTAAATACGAAAAGAGAAGAACCAACTCCATGCTGAAGAAAAGATCCACTGCATAGATGTTATTGAATGAATCTTATTGCAGGATGTAGAACCAGGGAAGTTTTTGGGGTTTAGGTGATATATCTAGTTTTACAGTTTGCTCAGAACCAATTGCATCTCTGAGAGTACTTGGATTGGATGCTAAGGAGTAGTTTCGTTTTTCTCCCTGTTGGGTAAGTTTTCAACCCCGCAACGATTTATATCATAATAGTGCTTCTGAATCACCATCTATCAACGGGAAAAAATGATCCACTGCATACATTATTCACTAACCTTAGCTGAATGTGTTAGTTTCTACTCTTGCTGCTAAGGCAGTGATAGATTCTAATACAACAGAAAACCAAACCACCAAACGGCAAACGCAGAACATCATACTTAAGAACAGAAGTAAAACTACCAGCTTTGCAACCAAACACCCGAATGAATAGAAGTCGGAGATAAAGTTTTTGCATATCGAATTCTTCTTCCCATACTCAACGATGGAAAATGACAACAGGAAGGACAGATCGTAAAAAATAAACTAACCTTCGCGAGAGTGAATCCATCATCAGGAACAAGGGTTTTGGAGGCAACGGCAGAAGTCGGCTGAGTGGAATCAGCAGCTTTGGCGACCAAAACCAACCTGAGGGTTTGCCCGTTTCGCTGGAGACCCAATCTTGCCGTCGACGGTGTTGAGGAAGAAGAATTCGGATGCGAAGAGAGGAAGCAGCAGCAGCAGCAGTAACCACGGTGGGCGCCATGGAGACGACGAGTTACAGGAACACGGGGAACGGTTCCCACTTTTGCCACCGCAATCGCAGATGCTGCTATCAGAGCTTTCATTTTTTTTTTCCCCGGCAGATTATTCAGAGCTCCCTCTCCAATTCCAAGCTTAGTTTCTTGAAGTGGAGCAGCAGGATTAGAACGAAATGAGAGGTTGTAGTGGCAAAAGCTCAAGCAACTTCCAATTCTGATAATCCCAATTTCTGAAACTATACGTGTCTCAATTTTCCCTCGCTCGATCTTCTCAACGGAAAATAATGAAACGACACCTAAGTGATGCGTTTTACTACCATAAGCTCACCCTGTTTTGGCCTTGTGAAGGTCCATTGCCACACCACCAAACCAAGCACAAATGTACAGATTCAAACATAGAGAAGCTTAGAAATGGGAAGCAAAAAAGGAGACTGGAGCAGCAAACCATAGATGGAGGGTTTCACAGTCTTAAACTGAGGTAATTTCTACAAGAACAATATATAATAATAAAAACATAAAGGGAAAGCTTCTCCCATCTAAACCATGTCCTCAAATGCATGACTTCATTCATCAATGCAACTGTCCCCTGTTCTACTTCTACCCCCTTTCCCCATTAACAAAACGAAACCAAAAAAATGGAAACTCTGGATTCTACTTGATGGGGAGAGACGCCCATTTACATCCACATGCATCCGTCCATGAAGGTGAAGCAGTAGTTAGCCTCTACTGCTGGCCAGCCTCGCCATTTTCAGTATACAACAGCGTGTTCAAAGTGCCCTCAAAATATTAAAGGCTGCTGCAGAATTTATGCAAGACATACCCACACAAACAAAGAAAAGGAAGGGAAGTCAGTGACAGGTTCCACAGCATGAATCCGAAACACAATTCACTTGCTTCGCTGTGCTAAAATGCTGTTACTTCTTACCAGCTTTGTACAAATGAAGATGCTGCTATGTCTTTACTTGAAGGAAGCTATGAGCTTTCCTCCATGTTGACATATCTGGCACTGGTTCATAACCTTTTCTGACCTTAACATTCCTCCTAGACCTGGAAACCAAATAACAGCCACAAAGCAAAGCAACATTGAATCCAATCTGAAACAACACGTCTGACATTATGGAAGTGGGCTAAACGTATTTTATTGACATGGCTTGCCTAGTCACAGATATGTATCTCTCAACTTCTGGTATCTGTGCATCATCAAAGGTAAACCACTTCTCACTGGGAGAATCAGAGTCCCAGTCACCCATACCTGCACAACGAAAGCAAATAGGTTTAAATTTAAGTGAACAGATTCTTTGTTGTATTAAAAACCCAACAAGGCCGGATTATGTAACCTTGGAGTAAGATGTATTTGCTATTATTGTAGCTTTTCAGTCTCCAAAATGCACGACCCTTGATATCCAAAAGCATGGGAACACTTCTAACAGCATCAGATCTTTGTGATTCTGTTTTTTTGTTTTGGCAGCAACAGTAGGTGAGACAAATTAGTACTTGATGCTGGCAAACAGACATATATAGAAGACATGCTTGCATGCCTCTACATGCAACATGCATGGCACCGAAAAAAGGATGGAAAACTCGAAGTATTAATCACTACACAACATGAGGAAACGCGGCAGATGGTCTCTTGAAATTGGATCAAGTACCGAGAATAATTAGTACCCAAAATGTCATCATTATGCACAATATGATGGCAGGAGGATTCAGCCAAATGATTACTTTTAGCTAGTCAGACACAAGTAACCTACTATAGGAAAACCGGTTTAGATTGAATAGTGCAGCCTAAAAGTTAACAGTTAGATCCATGCAACTAGCTGACGCTACAAAGCCTAGAACGTTGAGTGGTTCAAGTACTAACTTCTACATTGTCGAGGAAAATCAAACAAACAAATTCATCATACTATAACTCTGGAATCAAGATCTCCTAACTCACCCTTAGACACCATGGCCTTAGCCTCCTCCATTTCTGCATGAGCTTGAGAAGTTTCCTCTTTTATCTGAGACATTAATGCTTCATGCTCAGAAATAGACAAAGGAGCCCCATTTTTTGCAAGTACAGCTTTCGCAATCTCATCCTGCTTCTTCTTTTTCACTTCCTTTTCCTGCAGTTAAGCAATAAGTATTTAACAAATCCATATAATCCAAGGAGCACTGTCTGCATTATAGAGAAAAGATTCACATCAAATCTTCCAGTACCTTTTCCTTTGCAGCAAGAATTTTTGCCTTGGCTTCCTTCCTACTTTCGTCGAATTCCAAAATTTGCTCATCAATGATGTCTCTTAATTCCCTACAGAAGCAAACAATAAAAAAGAAGAGAATTCAAGACATCTTATAGGTGAATTATCTAGAATAACAAACTCATCAACTTATAATTGCTTACATGGTGTTGAGAGTTTCATCACACAGAAAATTAAGGAGTTTGAGCTTTCCAGAGATGCTCAACTCCTCGTATATGGCATTCCCTTTGTTGAAACGATCAGGAGGGAAATCCTTTGACATGAAAGGATATTTGGAGACAAAATCCCCAAGAGATAGCAGCCATGAATTCTTGCCATCTGTTGGACTTAGGGTTGGACGCCTAGAAAAAAGGGCACAATTATGATATATATATAGTCACAGAAAACAGTAAAGACAATACCAAAAGATCTTTTTCAAGGTAGGATCTAGCACCTTTCATCTATATCTTCTTGTATCAGAGACAGCAGCTGGATATGAATCTGGATTACAAAAGAGGATTGTGTCCGGCATCCTCTTCGGCCCTTTACCATTTCCCTAATGGCTGCTTCAGCATGCCCTTTCTTAAGATCAAAAGCCTTTTATATGAAGACCAAATGGAACAAACTAGATCAATGAAACAATTTGTACAACTGTCCAAAATTGGCAAGAAATCAAAGGTTCTAAATGCAACAATCAATAAAGCAACCAGCAGATAATTAATTGTCTACTAAGTGCAAACTTATTAGCGCAATTATCTCGTCATTCAGCAGGCATAAAATTCAAATCATAAACATAACATCTACTTTCTAGACCAATACCTGGCCAAAAGCATTGCAAAATTCCAGGAATTGTAAGACTTGTCCAGCATCTTCAGGGGCCAAGTCAACCCCTGCCACATTGGTTAAAATTGAGCCTCGAGGCAATGGAATCTCATTATGCACCACTTCATTTATCTGCTTCCAGCAGGATTTTGAAGATGGATTCATTATGGTTTCAAGGTTATCATTCCCAATAACATCCATAGCTGATATATCATCATCATGGACTTTTGGAACAACAGCATCGTCATTTTTGGACATTTGTTCATTTATCCTAGGCTTCTTCATCTTAACCATTGAAGCTGCATCTTCACCATGGCCATTGCTAACTTCTTTCAGCTCTTCCCTTTTTGTTTTCTTGAATTTGATTATCTTGGCTGCATCTTCACCATGGCCATTACTGACTTCTTTCAGCTCTTCCCTTTTTGTTTTCTTGAATTTGATTATCTTGGGACTAGGGAATTCTTTCTGCGAATGCAAGGGCAAATCACTTATACCATCCAAAGAATTCTCTTTCCCTGGCTTCCTTGGCGAACCAACTTCAGGCTCCTGTTAAGGACATGAATGAGCGCACAAGGAAAAGAAACTAGAAACCTTGTAAACATCGTAACCAGAGCAAGTAAATCCATACCACTTTCAAAGCAGCTTTCATCGGGGAAGCATCCTTGTCTTTCACCCTATTATACACAAAGTTTTCAGGCCCTTTCACTTGTAGAAGTTCAGAAACAGATGCAAACCCATTTTGTTTTGCTGTATGCGTCAGAATACCAGTGGGTTTGTGACCCCTCTTCTTCCTGAGAACATGATAATTAATTAGTTTTCCTCAAGTAACATAATTAACGTGTTTAAGCTCCCAATACTGGCAAACTTACATGCAGAAGCTGCAATTACAAATACCCCTACACTTGGGACAATGCCAGTTGTCCATCTGTGGAACATTTTCAGCCACCTCTCCGTACCTAATCAAATGTAATTAAACATCAGTGATAAGAAATCACCAAGCAAAATGCATTAGCTATGCCAATAACCTGAAAAGGAACACAATGATACCTGTTCAACAAGCACTTATGACAATAAGTAACGACACATGGTTTGCTGCTTTCTTTCAGGAACCTACACCGAGCCATTACATCCATTGTTTTCTGACGGCACTACAAGGACCAATTAAGGAAAATACAAGAATCAACGCAACAGGAAAGAAGCTCTAACTTGAATGTAGAGGAAACCCTAATTAACTGCTTAAAAGAAAAGACACCGTGCAACTCTAACCCTAAATTTTGAGAAATCCATAAATCATCCATTAACAAAAATCAAATGCCCTAGCAGTTTAGCACCTCATGAACACGATCATCAATTTGAGCTGTTAAACGGATGATGCGGACAGTTTAAGCAAAACCCATTAAGCCAGACAAGTAATCCGATATCATAAATTGAAGATCCGTGTTCGCAACCCTTTACATTTACCCTCCTGGCTTCAATCAGCTAAACGCAACCAAACAGTATTCACAATCTACACCAACAACACGCGAAAAGTGTTCAAATCTAGCCAACCCAAAAGGGGCAAAAGAAAAATGAAGCCCGACCCATTTCGCGTTCCTATCATTTTCTCGTCAACCAAACAGATCGAATGAGCATTCCACAAAACTGAACAAAAGAAGAGCCACGACTAAGCGGGAGCTAGACCGCTTACCTGATGGCAGGTCTTCCCATTGACAGAATCATAAATTCTGCCACCAACAACACGAAGCCCAGGATCCTTAGTCCGACTCTTCCCTTCTTTCAAAGGTGACCTCTGGATTTCCACAGTGGGGCTTGCTTGTGCCGACACCATTGCTGCACTGCTAGCTGCTAGTGCTGACTGACTCTGGCTGGCTGCCTGCCTGTCACGATTTCTACTGTTCCGTCCGGCTTCCGGACAAACAACCCGAGAAAAAGGGACCGGGTGAGAATGGAAATCCAAATCAACCTTAATCGTCGACTGCTACAAAACGACTGACTCTAGCCGCAAAAAAGCGCGAAAAATGGGGTTTATAATGGGAGTCCGTGCTAGCTGATCCAAAGTTTGAAACGAAATACTTTGGGTTCCCTCCACTCCACTGGCGCGCTTGGTGGCGCGGGAGAGTTGAAAAACAATCTGAAAAGTTTTTGAAATATGGTGGAAAGCAAAGGAGATGAATGTCTTTCGAACGGGGCCAATATGAGGCGCCAATTTTTTTGTCGCAGGTGTCATTAGGTGGAAGTTTGGTTTTAGGGTTGCAGGTAATTCGCAAATCACACACTTTATGAATAGTGTGTTGGGTGTGGTTAGCACTTAGCAAAATATTGCTTATTGTAATTTAGTTGTTAACCAATACCCATTACCAACAGTGTAAACATACTAATTATATTCATTTATTACTAATAATTTATAATATCATAGTATGTGAAAATGGAAGCTAAAAATTAAAGTAGCCACCAAAATCAAATACACACTTACTTTATAAAAAAAATCAATAAACAATGTCTGTGTGATATATTTTTACGAAATAGGTCGTGCCCGTGTAGAATATTTTTTTTTATAAAAAAACAAGTCAATTAAAGAAGTCAAGTAAATTAATCGATTAATTAAAGGGAAATAATTAATTTATAGTTTATTTAACACTTAAGTAACTTTCTTTTTTATATGTTTTTGTTTTGAATGAGAAGAAACACAACATCAATATTAATTATCATATTTAATAATGAAATTTTTGCGGGTATCCACAACCAACCCACACCAAAAGACAATGGGTAGTGGTTAACCATTACCCACTGTGGTGCAGATTGTGGGTAGGATAAGTTTGAATTTGTGGGTGTTTAGCTGCAAAATGTGGGGCGGGTAACCACACCCGCCCCAATTTCCACTCTTATATAACGTAAGAGTTACAAAATATAGTTTAAAGCACACTGCGTAATAAGACGCATAAATCGACAAATAGTTGAACTGCCGATTAGAGGTCGTGATTCGCCACTAAATGAGTTGGCCTATTAAATGGCTTGACTTTAAAGTGGCATCATGACGCCTTTTACCTCCTTACCAAGCTCGAACTCCATCTTCCAATTCCCGGGGTAGACATGGAAGATGCTACCCATGCACAGTGCCTCCTCACGTATCAAGTCGTGGTTCGTTGCCATTGAGTAGGCTCGTGAGGTTCGAGACAAGTTGGCTCATGAAGAAGAGACCAAGGTCGCCACCTACTCGTCCCTTTAAGGGGAGTTAGCCAAAGGAAAAACTACATCAAATGAGTGGCCTCGTTTCAAGCTAAGGAAGCCACCCATAAGACACGAATCGCTGAGGTTAAGGCAGAGCTCCAACACTTGAAGAGGAAGAAGCTCAAGAGCAAACTCGAAAAGAAATCCTAGCACGAGATCTTAATGAGTCATTAACCAAAATCCGTGCTCTTCATGGGAAATAAGAATCTCCCATGCCTATGAATGAGATAGCCCACCAACGAGCCAAGTCTAACCAAATTAACCGTGAAAGCAAATCCAAGCTCGCCAAGTTGAAGGTTAGCTTTGACGAGATCCTCAACACCCTCGATGTCTGAATTATCTTTGTTATGTTTTCTTTATATTCTTGAATAGTCGGCTTAGCCATTGTTGCGACTTTTGATTTGTCTTTAATTTTGTTTTATTTATGATTTCATGGCTTGTTTCTCATATGATTCTTTTCTCACCTCTCATAACATCTTGTTCTTCGTGAGAAACTTGCATTGGAATCGAATTGATTACACCTTGACTTTTTGAACAACGATTAAATTAACACAATTCACACATATTCAAGCAAAGCTCGAATGAGGGTGTTCGATGTTTACACGACTCACGAGACAGATCTACATTAAATTACCTCCACTCCTATGGAGGTTCAGTGAGAGCTCCAGATCTAAGACTTTTGGCTAAAATTTGTAGGGGAAAGATAAAATGATAAAAATTTGACAAATGGTGTCGAGTTGTGATTTTTGTGAACCCCTTCTCTGTTAACTCCTCCTCATATAGTAGCCATGAGGTAGTAACCATCGTAGAACACCATCTGGAGAGTAACTTTCAGAAAGAACTGCTTCCCTTCTTCCTCATACGTGGCTGACGTGTCATTGAATGTGGAATAATCGATAGTTGCTTCGTTAACCGCCCAGGTGCCTCACTCTTTTGGAACCGAAGTTTTGGTGCTTGCCTCCTCTCCACCATTGGCTTACAATGACCAAGCCAGCTAATGCCTCCAACGAAACACCAAGCTTGTTTTAATGGCGTGGCTTTAAAATATAACACACCCTCTTCTTTTTCACTTTAATTGGCCGCATTTGCCACCACCCATTACCAGTCAGATACGAGACAACTCTCCCCAATCGCCTTCACACGACCACGCTCCTTCTACGATTCGATAAACAAGTAATGACAAGTCCTATTCGGGACAACATATAAAGGAAGGACGAATTATTAATGTCGAGTTGACCTTATAAATTCATTAAATCTCTTGCAATTACTTGATATGGTATAAACTGATTTTTTTACGGGTAAACAATAAGCAAGAGGGACAAATATCACTTACACGTGAAACTTGAAAGACATATCACCCACAAAGTATATGCTCATTCTTTCTCCATCCAGCCATCCTTATATAAGCTTAATTCTGCCCCAAACTTACAAACCTTGTATATAAATTTCCAAACGATGCTATTTGCACATGAGCACTATAGTTTAATATATATATAGAAAAATACACTTGTATAGCCATAACTTTCACGTTTTTTACAAATATAGCCATAACTATTCGAAAACACGAAATAGCCAATTACGCCCACCATTTTAACGGTGTTACTTAACAATCTGACTAGACTGATGGAAATGCTGACTTGGCGACATTTCGTCAGTTAAAGTCCACATGGATTAAAGGAAAAAAAGCCAAAAAAAAAAAAACATAAAAAATGCTCATTTAGGGTTCTTAGAGACCCCAAATTCGGGGGCCAACTCTTCATCTCCTCACCAGCCGCCGACGAAATTGGAAACAAATCGGAAGCCAGCGGTAAGCACGAAGAAGAATAAACAAATCAGAATCCAGTTAAAAGCACGGCGAGATGAGGGAGAAGGTCGAGCAACCTGCTTGTTTCTTCTCGGCGGAGATACCGCTACGCTGGAGGATTTCGAGGTCGACGAGAGTGAGGGACATGAGGCCGAGAGATATGTGGATGTAGGGAGCGAGCGGAGAGATGAGCGGTGAAGGTGAGTTGGTAGAAGGTCGGCAAACGAAAAGGAGAGAGCTTGGAGAGGATCGCAACAGCTACGATGGAGTCCCGATTGACGAGGGATCTCCACTCTCTTCTTTCTCCAGCCGTCTCCCAACCTGCATCGACGCCGCTAGAGGAAGAAGAGGACTCACCGCCAAGCTGCACATGTGCTACATGGTCTCGCTCCAAATGACCAAACAAGCTTCCATTCAGCAGCAACAAGCTTCAAAGCCGCCAGCAACTACTTATGCCAGTACCAGGGTGAAAACAGAGGAATTGGAGCAAGCCCAGGAAACAGAGTCGAATCGGGTGGGATTAAATATGTAAAAAGGAAAAGGTGAATGGAGGCAGATTGAGAGATGGGAGCAAGTCCATCAATTATTTCATTTGGACCGGGAGGGTTTTGGATTTGGCTGATTATCGAGTGACAATTTGATGGAAGGGTTGCAACAAGAAAAACGGAGGTAGAAAGGGGTTTTGATAGAGAAGAAGTGAAGAAAAGGAAAACGAAGGAGGTAGAAGGGGTTTCGATAGAAGGGGAGTCCAACGGAGGTAGAAGGGGAGTTCATCGGAGAACAGATGGGAAAGGCGAAGGAGAGGAGAGAGGGAGAGGAGACTAGATATTGAAAAGGGGAAATTTTTATTAAATTATTTATTAATTTATTAACTAATTTATTTTTAAAATAAAATATGTCATGACACTTATGTGGCAAGTGTGATTGAGTTGTCGCTGACGTGTGTGATGATTTGGCATCCTAGTCAGCCTAATGTTAACCTAACTGACGGAGTTTCTAACACCGTTAAAGTTTCTAACGGAAATGACTAGATTTGTCACATGACCATCTAATTTCTTGGCTATTTTGTGTTTTCGAATAGTTATGGCTATATTTGTCGAAAACGTGAAAATTATGGCTATACAAGTGTATTTTGTCTATATATTTGCAGATTTTGAAGTGATCTGTCACTGTCACCGTAAACAAACTAATCTGATGATGAAAGGATTAGGATTCATTTAGGAGGTCACCACCAGAGATCATTCTTAGTTCGCTCTTCTCCTATAATCATTCCGACAGACGAAGATCAAGCTTCAGTTTCTAAACAACACGATTGATCACTCTCCAGAGTCTCCACCTCTAACATGCACAAAGCAATCAATTAAATTTATTATTAATAATAATTATAATTCTCCTAAAACAATGATCAATTTCAATTCCCCCTTTTTTTTTTTAACTAAGCTTCATCACCGTTCCAGCTGGCCTTAACTTTGGGCCCAGTGGGCCCTTCTTCCCCCAACACCTCCTTGGGCAAATTCCTCACCATCTTATCAAACTCTTTCTTCAGCGTCCCAGGCAGCAACTTCCTCACCTTCGCCAGCTCCTTGTCCACGTCATAATCAATCTTCGGGCCCCACTCCCTCATGTAATTCAGCCACGGCGGCTCCACCACGCCGTCCTTCCCCAGATACTCCGCCGCCACCACCGCGAACCCCGCCGCCGTATCCACCACCATCCCTCCCGTCGCCGTGTCGTCCCGAATCCCGATGTCCTTGCTCCCCAGCATCACCAACCCCGGGTGCGGATACATCGCGTGCCCGTGGAGCGACGCGTACGCCACGGGCCGGCTCCCGCCCCGGTACTCCAGATCCGCCGACCCGACCCACGACCCGCCGCTGTGCTGCGAGAAGTAGACGCTCTGGAGCAGGCCGTTGAAGTTGCTGATCCGCAGGGTCACGTGCTCCCAGTCCCCCACGTGCTCCCCTAGCTTCCCGAGCTTGATGCTCTTGATGAATTCCACTTTTGCCCTCCCCGGTCCGTTGAACGGGTAGAACACCCACACGGCTAGATCCGTAAATGTGCCTCCCGAAGCGGGCTTCGCGTGTAAATAAACCTGCACGCCCGCCAGCTGTCCTTTCTTCACTCTCTCTTTCGCCGACCCGTCGACCGGCAGGTCCAACCAGTACGCCCCGTCGTTGGAACCGCCCTGCGGGAGGTTCGACCCAATCGGGTCGATCGGGGTCGGGTTCGATTCTTTCCCTTTCTCGTATAGAAGCGATCCGTTTGAGAAAAACCAATCGACGGAAGACGGGAGGAATTCCTCGTCGGGATGGAGAGAAATCCAGGGAGCGTATCTCTTGAAGAGTTCTTCCACTTGCTTTAAATTCGGCATCGAAGAAGAAGTCGATCCGTCGACGGAATTCTGATTCTTCAGACAGGCGACGAGCGTGGGGTGGTCTCCGGGAAGGCCGGAGGATTGGGCGATGAATGTGCCGACGGAGACGCCGGCGGCGGATCCGTCCCCCGGCCCGAGGTTGAAAACGTTGAACCCGGTCAGATCGGGATCGCCGGCGTCGGCTGGGCCCCAGAGCCACGCGTCGGCCTGGCATTGGTCGGTGAGATCGGATCTGACGCAGCGGACTTTTTCGAGCGGGGGCTTGTCAGGGGACGTGGTGATGACGTGTCCCACGGCCCTGTAACCGTCGGGTGGGACCGGGAGCCAGAAATAGGCGATTCCTTGCTGGTTGATTTTTTCGGTGTCGGAGCTGGTCCAAACCAGGGTATAATCGACCGGCGGCTTCAATGCTCCTCCGTCGCCGGCGGCGTCTTTCCCGGCGAGGATCCAGCCGTGGGCGTTAGGGTTTGCGTTGGGCTGGCTGTGGGTGCCGAGCATGTGGAAATCGGGAGGCAGCTGGGTCGGTTCGAAGAAGGATGCTCCGAGATTGTCGGGTCCGCCTTGCTGGGTGGACCAGATTTTGTTGAAGGAAGCGGTCTGGAAGACGTGGAGTCCGCCGCCGAGGTCGATTGCTCCGGAGGCGAAACCGCCGTCTACGGACGGCCATGATGATGGGATCGAGGAAAGGAGATGTCTCGATGTCTTCTCCATTGCGGCGGCTGCTGATGATGACGAAGATGAGAGGAGATTGAAACTGCAGGGGATAAATAGAAGTTGTTGCTTAGTATGATTTGAACACTAAATTAATTGATGAATTGAGCGTGCAAGCAAAGGAATGGAGATGACGCCTCCCTTTTACAACAAGACAAAGTAGTAGTATTTCTTCTTCTTCTTCAATGGAATCCTGTGTATCAACTTGGGGTTTCATTGTTTGCACTCTTACGAGAGGACTGTGACGTTTGTAAGGCCAAGTTGTTAACGGAGGAGGGTCAGCTTTGTGATTGTCGATATGGAAATAATTGGTTGCAGGCGGAGAACCCTTAATTTGGCTTTACTTAACAGGCATTGTTGTTGAGGTTCAATGTGGCGCAGATAAGCTTTAGCGTATCAGTATGATATGATAAGAAGAGCTACAAGCAATCAAAGGCTTGGAGCTGTAGATAACATACTGTGCGTCTCGTCACATTTCAGTTTTAAGCATGGTCCATGAAACCATACCGGAGACAATATCGGGAAAGTCAGCGGTAGGGTATTTTATGGTAAAACCGTGGTTTAACCGTAGTTCAACCATTATATCGGTAAATACCGCATATCGGATTAGCCTCCGATACTGGTATTTCGTGGTTGAACCGCCGGTACGATACGATTTCATGGACACTGGTTTTAAGTAGATGAATTGTTGAGGGGAAAAAAGTCGATAAAAAAAGACGAGTCATTTTCATTTGAAACCAATAATTGAGGTTGATTTCAAGTAAATGAAGATGTTTTTTTCTGCTATCAAGATTCTTGTGGTCTGTCGAAATACAAGAAATTCTACTATCACTTTTAATTGAACCTTTATGATTTCACTTAGTTTTACCATATTACTACCAAGTATTAAAAATGCGAGAACATTTTTAGCCTGACTAGCTGGATTCGGTACTCCTATTTTGACCGGTTCTCTATAATATATAGATTCAGTTGCATTTCTTCCATTGCATTTGATTTTAAGTCATATCTTAACTTTATTAAAAGAATAAGTCATATCTTAGCTCTTCTCTTGTGCAAAATATCAACCGGAGCCTGGAGGTTCTCTATTATTAATTATCTCACTCTTTAGTCATATTATTATCTCACTCTTTGGTCATATTATTACCATTATGTTTTGGCATCTAGAAATTAATTTGTAGCATATATATTTTTAAGCGGATCACATTTCCATACGAAATGACACCATTATATAGGACTGTCGATTTAGTTTGGTTTGGCTAACAAAACCATTAAGTACGAAAAACCAAAAATCAAACGAGGGAAATTCTTAAGAATCAAGATCAAAAGGCCTAATCATTTTTCGATTAACCAACGATTGGTAAGGCCCTTAGGCCTTAACAATTTTGATTTGCTTGAAAAGTCCAAAATGAAGTTAGTAAAGACAAAAAGAACAAGAAGCACGAAATTGTATAAGTTGGTGACAATGCTCGTTGTTAATGGGTATTAAGTTAGTTAGGATGTCACCGATTTCTTATTGAATTCCCTATTAGTTTTTAGATTTTAACATGAACCAATTCCATTTAAATGTTAAACGATTTAAAATCAAAATTCTTAAACTTCTTATTGATTTAATTTTGGTTAAAACCGAAAACCCAAAACAAACTGAAAGACCTACCATCAAACCACCCCATTGTCAATTTGTCATTTGATGTCATAAAACATGGACTGCATAACATCAATTTTCAACTTTCTGGTCATCAACTAATTTAATAAACACTATCAAATTGAATTGACTTTATCACCCAAAAGTACTCAAACGTTTGACATTTGTGCTTTGTCTCCCATCCTTTCAGAATCTAGTAGGTATGGTTTGAAACAAAAAAAAGCGGCATTCATTTTCAAGGAAGAAAGAATTATAATACAATTAATTGAACTAGTTTGGGAAAATTCATAATCATCAAGGAGTAATTCTATTAACCAACAAAAATCAGGGAGTAGTTCCAGACACCCATAATTTGGAAGCGGGGAAAAATATATTGTCTGTCGGGTTAGATGACCTACTCGTCAATTTTTATTTTATTTTATTCCAGTTCCGGGACAAAACTTCAGCCAACAAGAATACATACATGTAGTGCTAATAATAAATCTGAAACGTAAATCTACCCAAAAGAGAAATCTGTTTTCATTTATACCACTAATTAAGGCCGCTGAATCTTAAATCCACTCTGTAAATGAATTAATTAATTTGGTTCTTTGCCTTAATTTCTTGCTGGTGGATTTCTCTAAAATATCTTGATCTCAATTTCCAATATAAATACCTAATCCTGTATCCACTTTATATAAGTAATACCCGCCTCATATATTCAATATTACTGTAATATTCAACATGAATCTTCAATTATAACACTAGATGAAAACTAATAAACCACAAAATCAACAGATAAATCAACCGGATGATTGCGGGGTTAGTTCCCTACTTGTTGCTATGTAGTTTGAGCAAATTTATGTGCAACAAACAAAGATCATAGGAGAAATCACCATATTACTGTTTTTTTTTCTTTTTTTCTTTCTGGTGTTCTGTTGTGGATGGCAATGGCAATGGCATCACCAAAATCAAGATACTTTCTTTTGTAGCGGGAAATGAGCAACTTGAGATTGAAACAACAGTGGAAAAGGGAAAAAGAGAGGCACACGCAAAGCAAAAAGCTGATGGAGGGAATTGAGGGGGGAAAAGTTATAGTGATCAACTGACCACAGTAAGAGGAGGAGGAGGTGGTAGCGGTGGTGGGATAAGAGAGCAGCGCCACCGCCACCGCCACATTGGCGTCGGCAGGAGGAGGAGTCCATCTTTCTTCGGTGGCCGGCTGAGGGTTTCTTTCCCTCCTCCTGCTGCTGCTGCTGCTGCAGCTGCTGCAGGGAGTGAATGGAGAAGGAAATGGAAGGCAGGGGATGCTCTGAGGTGAGATCCCTCCCTGTAAATTGACTGTAAAATAAGAAGAGCGTGGGTGGAATCATTAGCTTTAAATAAATAATAAATGAGATTAATTAAGTTGCTCGCTGGTGATGGGGTGAAAATGGGAATGGGAATGAAATGAAGAAAGCATTTAAAGAGATTCACTGTCTTGCCTTTGCTAACATTTTGAATGGAGGGAGTAAATGGGTGGTAATTTGATTTGATTTGGTGTTTAGGCAAGTAAGTAAATGAGTATAGTAATAATATCATGATACCTGGGCAGGAGCAGGAGCAGGGCAATGAATGAGATTATATTCTTTCGTATCTTTGCTTTGCTCGCCTGGACGACAGCAGCAGCAGAAGAAGAAGAAGAAGACAACGGCGGCGGCAATATGTTAAGAGGCGGTGAGTGGTGGGACTGGAGACAAGTAGTATGAAGGAAGGAAGAGAAGACTGACCCAGCTCTATCTGCTGCTGCCGCCCCCAACTTAATTTCTCATGCTCTGTGGGCAGTGGGGAAAGGGACCATGAATTGTGAAAGCAAGAGAAATGAAAATGAAATCTGGGTGGGACTGGAGAAAGAAAGAAAGAAAGAAAAGAGGTAATGGTTTAAACTTTAATGCAGAAAGCAAGGAAAACCGAAAGAGCAGAGCAGAGCAGGGCAGAGGGCTAAGTCATTTGTCATTGTCAAGCGGGTATAATAACAATGACACCCATCATTTCATATTCATTCATGTCCATTCATTCAATCTCTACCAACTAATCTATAGTGGTAATCCCGTGAAAAAAAAAAAAGAGGAAATAGAAGAAATTACTAGAAATGAAATGAAATGAGAGGAGAGGAGAGAGCAGAGCTTAGTGCTCTCTCTCTCTCTCTGCCGCACGTCCCTGACATTATCACCCCAGCCGACTTATTATTGGTTAGATCTATATTACGTGGCAAGTTGGTATTGCAGCAGGAGCTCTCTCACCACCATCACCGCCGCCACCGCCATACGGTATGCAGCAGATAGACCACCACATTCCTCCCAACCTGTGTCAAAAACAAAATGCAAACTCACCACCATTGCCTGCGGGCATTCACCTTCCACATGGCTTGGGTTTGCCTTCTGTAGTTCGTATTTGGAAAATGGAATCATGCAGCCAACAGCAGCAGACACACTCCCAAAATAAAATAAATAAAAACAGAGAGCACCAATCTCCGTCCTTAGATGCTCGTCCGCGTGAAACCCTGCCGCAGTGCCGCCTGACAGAGAGAGAGAGAGAGAGAGAGAGAGAGAGAGTCATAGATTATTGTATAATTCCACTTGTTAATTTAGACTACTAATTCCAAAACCTGAAATATTCCATATGATAAGTTTCCAGTGAGAGGAAGCTGGTCACCCACTCCCACCACGCACCTCCTCCTTCCTAATCCCTAATAGGGCCGGTAATCGGTCGGTAACCGGTTAACCGGTTAGTGACCAAATCGGTTACGGTATACCGTTTGCAAAGAAACAGCAGCTGAATACCGATACCAGTTTGTAACCGGTTATACTGAAACACCGAGACAAGGAGAGAAAACGACATTTGGGTTCGGTTAATCGGGAAATAACCGGACCAACTGTGGGCAGATGAGAGGTTGGGCAATTTTTAAAAATTTCATGTTTTTTTTTTGTATTTTATGTAATGAATAATGTAATTCTGTAACTCTTATTTACAATATTTAATTTTTTTTTATAATTTATAGCATTACAATTGTCATTTGTCAAACCATAATTGATTTATAACATTAACAAGTTCAAATTCAGAAATTCATTAAGCATAAAATGCATCATCAAATATTGAAATTGAAAGGGACGATAATCAACATAATTGTCAATCAACCAGAGCGCATAATGATTAATGACAATGTCTAAAATCTAAATTCATACAAGTTCAAACTTCAAACTTAATAATAAAAATGGATCTTAGAAGTCCCCAAATAACACAACATAAATAAACGCATAAACTACCATCTCATGCTCCTCCTTCTCCGACAGAACTTGTCCCACCACCAACATTAGCATAACCTTTCTTCTTCAAAGTCCTAAGAAGAGAAACTTCGGGATCGTCATCGTCATCGTCATCGTCACTAATATCACCACTCTCAGTCTCCTTGTCATCTTCCTCCTCCTCCTCCTCCTCAACAACCCTATCAGGTAAGCTATGTGCTCTAACTTCACTAGCAGTTTACACTCGAGCTTGGAAAGTATTAGCCACTAGTGCAAAGAAAAAACACAAATATTAATAATTTAAATATGGAATGGCTTAATAGTAAAGAGTATATACAAATTAGAATAATGAATTGAATTCTTACCATTCTCAAACTCGATTGTCTCATGATCTTCTTCCTTATCATTCAGTTCATCTACAGTCTTTCCACTTTATACCTTATCCAATCTTCAGCACAAATCAATGCCTCTACAATGTTTGGGCGCAAAGATGATTTGAAATGACTAAGAACTCGACCTCCACAGAGCGGCGACGACTGGGGAAGACGAAGCCCGAAGGCAAGCTTCATCGCCGGCCGGCGACTGGGAAAGAGGAACTTGGAAGTCGGAAGGTAGGGCAACAGGGCAGAGCGTCGGGCCGGCCGTCGGGAATGATAGGCAGAGTCGGAGAGGGAAGGATGGAAGGCGGCAGAGCGGCGTCGCCAGGAGGTTGGAACTCGGAAGGCGAGGAGAACGGAAGCGAGGCGGCGGAGCGGCGTCGGCAGGAGCTCCAGGAATCTCCCTGAATGACGAACTGACGATGGAGAAGTGGGCTGCGGGCATTAGGGTTAGTCGACTCGACCCCTCCCCTACTACTAGGGGTATTCAAATGGCTACCATGGTTATAACCAAACCAAATAACGCTAAATTTCATTAACCATGGAATACAAGATCATAACCAAACCGTCCAAACTAATACAACAACCAAATTAACCAAACTAAAGTTTAATCGGTTTTGTTAATTGGTTAGCCAGATTAACCAATATAAAAATCACATTATCATTGACGATGAAAATTTTCCGGTTAATGCAACAATTCACAATTTATATAATGAATAAAACATAACAATCAACACGTAGTTATAGTTGACCCTTAACAAAAATACATGCAACTAAGACAATTATCTTACGATTAGTATAGAAGTATTTGCCTAACAAAAATTTATGACAATGGTATGAGTTAATGAATTTTTGTGTTTGTGTAAATTGACTTAGTCTCTTAGCAATTATCATAGGCTGGAAATGACCTTCCTTTCAAGTTTTCATCCATCATAATGTATGAAATTTATCTAAATTAGGCGTTCATATGTTGTGGTCTACACTTTACATATACAAATATACACTATATGAGCAATATTGAGCTTTATATTTTATGAGTCTAAAAGGGATGGACGTTAACTCTTGAGTGGTTATGCAAAGTATTAAGTATGCGTATATAATATATGTTAGATATATGAATATTTATTTAACTGATTAATTTGGTTTGACTGGTTACTGGTTAGGAGTGTCTGAAACCAAACAAGCTAAAAACTTTAACCAAACCAAACCAAACCAATTATCCAAATTAACCAAACCAAATTATCCTAATAGTACCGGTTAAAACGGTTACCACGGTAACCAAACCGTTTGAACACCCCTACCTACTACGCTGCGTTTTGCGCCTCGTAACGGTTTCCAGTTAACCGGAAAACCGTCGATTAATACCGGGTGGAGAGGCGTTATACCGGTGAGCCAATTTTGCCATTCGACAACCGAGTTTCCTGGTTATAGATATAACCGGGAAATCGATTGTCACCCCTATCCCTAGGGCTGCAAATAAGGCGAGTCGAGTCGAGTTTTACCCCAGTTTGAGCTCGGCTCGTTAATTAATGAGTCGAGCTCCGGCTCAACTCGTTTATTAACGAGTCGAGTAGAGCTCGAGCTACCTTGTTTACTAAAATCTTGAATTTTATTTGGTACTTCATTTTGTATATCATGATACATATGATTTATTTTGTTAGCTAATCTCATATTATACTTTGTTGGTATCATATATCATTTAGTTAATAAATTTAACTACTCCAAATCATATTATTTCATAGTATCGAAGCAATCTATAATACATAATTTTTTAAAAAAAATAGAAAATAAGATACATTTGCTCACATACTCAACGTGTTAAACTTTATATATGGCGAGATATATAATTTAACAACCATATGAATTAAAATCATACGATATAGATTGATTCGTCCATAAGTCGGTAATCGAGTTGGCTCTCTAGCCACATGTTGAGACATATCATGAGCTCTAAACGAGCCAGCTCATGAGTTTAGTTCAACAAGCCACCGAGTCGAGCTAGCTCGCGAGCTTCACGAGTTAAACAAAACTTAGCTCATGTTCGGCTTGTTTATTAACGAGCCCAATTTCGAACGAGATTTTCACGAGTCAAACGCCAAGCCGCTCACGAGCAGCTCGACTCATTTGCAGCCCTACTAATCCCCATTTCACTCGTCCTCCCACTCATACATCAACCATCCACATTCACATGCCAACACTAACTTAAACAGGGTGACCAAAGACAAATACCCATATATATAATGACATTCTCATCATATCCCATAACACAGGGTAAGTACATATATATAAAAATAGTAACTCACAAAGATCTACACATTCCACTACCCATATCTCATAGGAACCCAAAGTTGATGGTGTTCTCCGGTGTGGGTTGGGTGCACCACCTCCACTCACCCCTCTGCCTTATTGCTACATGCACATGGTCCCCTCTCACTTCTTGCCTACTTCAACTTCTGCAGAGTCAGACAACAACCGAATAAGTTTAGAGTCGTTCAAGCTCATGTGGTGCTCCATTATGCAATTGCTCATGTGGTGCTACATGGTCCCCTCTCTCAAACTGTTTCACACGTACAATTATCATGGTAAAAAACCAGGGACGGAGCCAGGATTTAATCATTGGGAGATCCGAATTTTCTTAATACGTTAAGCAAAAGAGGAAAAACTAATAATAAAAATTATTTTAAAAACGTATTATTATTATTATTAAAACTCAAAACTTTTTCACATTAAGTTCACTACAAATCATACAAAAATAAAATATATGCTAACCTCAAGAATCGAACCCATGACCATTGGGTCCTTCTAAATTGCCAATTATGCTAGGCCAACTCAGATTTTATGTTATAATTTGCACGCTTTTTATTTTTATTAAATACTTACTTGTTTATACGTATTATCATAAACCATTTACACGTAAGTTCGAGATTCTCGGGGGGCCTGGGTCCCCCTTGGGCCAACGTAGCTCCACCCCTGTAAGAAACCCAGGTCATTCGCTCTCTATTCTAGTTTTATGATAACACCGTATTTACACATGTTTTCCCACAATTTCTTGGCCGTTTGGCTTAGCTTTTGATCGCTTTTTGACTCGTTTTACGCTAGGTAGTGCTTGGTGATGATATTTCAGGTCCTAGCACGTGAATAGAGGCTGAGGAGCAAGTTTGGGTGCAACTGGAGAGCAAATGGGAATAGGAGGCAAAAGCAGCTAAATCCAAGGTCTGGAAGCTACAACCGTGGATTCCATGTTTTAATTGTGGATAATTGGCAGGCATATTCCCCGATCTGGTGGCTCAATTCCACAACTGGGGATTTCAGGGGTCTGATCGTGGATTTTGCTTCGAGGGCTACTAGACCCCATGCACTGTTTTGGAATTCCACGGTCTGAAACCCAATTCCACGGTCGTGGACTGCAGCGTCTAGGGGGTGTTTAAATGGTTACCATGGTAATTATCGAACCAAACAAGTCAAAATTCTATAAACTATGGAATACAATATCATAGCAAAATCGTCCAAAGTAATACAACAACCAAATTAAAGTTTAATCGGTTTGGTTAATTGGTTAACCAAATTAACCAGTACAACATAACATTATCTGTTGGGCCATAGCTGAGCGGTATTGGGCTTGGAGGCCCACAGAAGGCCCAAGGAGAAAGGCCCGTCGAAGGGCCCGGGAGGCAGGCATGG